AATAGCATACATGTATTATATATCATATGTTAATTTTAAAACTATGATTGTTAATAACTTTTTAACGAAGGGCGAGCGACGGCTAAAACTTGTTGGAGGTTACTCAGGGGTCATGACCTTGACAACATATATCAAGGTCAAGGTCATTGGAGGTGGCTCCCCTAAAGTGAACAATTACCTTACTTTCTATAGGAGACTACTTTAAAAGTTTCCATTAATGTAAAAATTTTTTTTCCGTATTTACATTTCCTCTTATACTAAAGTTTCTCTGCAATAAATATTAAAAATTATCAGGGTTGCCACAAGTCAGGGAAGTCAGTGAATCAGGGAAATTAAAAATGCGTCAGGAAAAGTCGGGGATTTAGCACACTTGTCAGGAAAAATAAAATAGCTGTAAAGAAATTTATTAATATCACGACGCCACAATTGATAAAAATTATTAATAAAATAATTTCAAACAAAGATTTAAATAAAGGCCTAATGACGGTCAAGCAAGATTTAGGTTGCTACAGTAATGTGTGAATTTTATTTACCACATATGTAGTTACCTTTAATCGCGCGCCGAAATATTTTCAGACTTTTTACAAACGCAACTTCTAAACAACTACCGTAGTAATATCACTAGTTAAATTGACACGCAATCTAACAATATTTGATGCTTAATAGCATCTTATTGGATCTTAATAATATTCTAATTTTAAATTGTTTATTATCAACATCTTAAAATGGGTCTCTATTCGCATTGTTCTAACTTGATACGATATTACAAGAAATGTGGAGTCACAATTTACATTATTTGATGTCTTGCTTTGTTGATGGACTCTCGACATTATGTCTTCAATAGCGAGTGAGATTGAAAATATCCATATCACAGAATTTTTATACATGTTTTTTCGTATTTGATTATGTATTTGTTTTAATTTTTATAATATCATTGTACATCGTTAACGATAGTTGGTTCTTAACATTGAGAATGACCTAATTAAGGTCGAAACGTTTGTTTTTGAATTTTATTAAATTTTATATTTATTTTTAATTAATGACTGTTTATTACTAAGACCTTTATATTTTAACTAATATTTGGCTCGTAGCCCTATTTTATATTAATTATTTCTTAATAATATGTTAAAAGACATATATTAAAATTTAACGATTTGTTATTAATTAATGTAAATTAAATTAATAATAAATCAAATTCTATAAAAAATAACATTGCGAAGAATATCACAAGTTGGCGTTTCGTCCCAGTTTCCACTACTAGACTCATCAGTAAGGTATTGTAATGGAAACCTACCTTAGACGCCTGGGAGAGATATTAGAAAGAAGTTCTATATAAACAGATACTTATGTATCTTAGCACTTGCGAGAGAAGTAAGCGTAACTATAGACCTCTGTAGGCTGGTCGACTAAGTGATATTCTTCACAATGCTTCCGTTTTTAAGTAATTAATAACGTATTTTGCAGGCACGTTGATTCTAAAAATACAATATTTGTAGGACCGTTAGAATTCAAACAAAGATTTAAATAAAGGCCTAATGAAATCATTTCGCTTCGTTCTTCAAGCCAACTCACCCGACAATTTTTTAGCTTTATGGTTTGCCGTGATCTTGCGGTGCTAGTGCACTATTGCCTTGTGCGTGTGTGTTTTGTTTTAACTAGCTTTTTTTTTTTAGAATTCGATTCCTGGAAAATATCTGCATCTACGTTAAATTGCTGGATTATCGAAATATTTAACATTTTCCATATGAGGATAAAAATACAAGAAACATTGTAAAATATGTATTATTGAAAGTCAGGAAAAATCTCAAAATTTTATCAGTAAATCAGGGAAATGTCAGGAAATTTTAGGATTAAAAATTTGTGGCAACCCTGATTATATTTCTATGTGCGTGCGTGCGTCTGCGTAAACATTAAAAAATTTTTGATATAATTTTATATATGTTTACTATGAAACTTTTGTGCACTTTACAAATAAATTAAATTCTAGTTAAACAATATAATTTTATAAACGTTATTTTTTATAGGTATGTGCTTTGATAGTACGATGTTTAAAATCTACTTTATACATTAAAATCTACATTCTACAACATTACATTACTTTTAATTAAGTTTTTACATTATTATGTTTATATACAGTGTATTTTTATATTATTTTAATATTATTTCCTCAACAATTGTATTGTTTGAATATATTTGCTTATCTTTTGAAATTATAAATAAAAGTCGAATATAATTAGTTACTGTTTTTCATAGGTTGTACCACATAAATACTAGGAGATTCTTCTACAGACATGATATTGATGGATTGGTCTAAATCAGTGTACTACTAGTATCAATCCAATTTTGGTCTTTATTAATTAAGAAAGGATCATATTTGCTAACACCTAAGTTTTGAATAATATGGATACACATTTTTATAATATTGTGCACAATGCCAGTGGTACTCTCACATTTGAAGAAGTATCAAATATCTGTGCTCCTGACGGCCAACGCATTCATTTTGTTGTTGAGGACGTTCATAATAGTAGTAATAGTTCACAACGGCTTGGGACTACACCACAAAACAGGCAGGCAATATTAACCCCGCAAACTATTAATTTAGAGAATCAAATATCTACAACGCAATTGGAACAAGGGTAACTTATACAGCATGCATTTTCAATTGCTCGAATTGTGTCAGAATAGTAGAAGAACTCTAAGCTTTTTTTTATATTTTATGAGAAATTATAGATTCAAAAGGATTTAATAAATTTTTATAATTTTAATATCTCTTTAAAAAAAAACAAAGTGTTGATACTGGTTGTAAGAGATAAACTTTAATGGTTCCAAAATAATATAAATATCTTAATTTATATAACGTGTATCTTGATATTTTAAATACCTTATATAATGGGCCATACATTTTGAGATTAAGTAGTGTTTCGGTTCCTAAAGTGTATAAGAAAATTGTACGAACATTCATAGAAAATACACTTGATTTGATTAAAATTTTTACATATGCGAATATTTCCAAAGTAAAGCCCGATCTACAATTGCGTAAACGTAGTTGTAGTTGTAAGAATTGACTAATCACAGTTGAATACGAGGAGAATATTCGACTGTCATTGGTCAATTCTTATAACTACAACCACTTACAACTACGTTTACGCAATTGTAGATCGGGCTTAATTTTTCTTACGTATCTGGATTGCATAACATGGAAGAGATATTATTATGACAGGTGCTTCTTAGTAATCTTCTATTATTTTATTGAACATATCTTGTGTACTATACATATATATAAATATATATATGTATATGTATATGTGAATAATATAATTGTGTCTTGATAAAGATAAAAATAGTCAAGAGTATCTATATTATTTTGCACTTTTTATAAATTGTAAATATAAAGTACAAAAAAATATATATTTTTTTAAACGTAATAGTATATCAATAAAACAGTGTATTTAATTATATTTAATTATATTTAATTCTGTTTTATATAATTTCATAACAAAACACTATAAAAATATTATAAAGAAATTAATTCTTAATACATATAATTGGATCATTGGATACTTTTTTTTTTTAGTACTAAAAGCACCAAATCATTAATTATCAATAATATTTATATACAATTTTGTAAATATAATGCTACAAATAGTTTTTAATGATATTAAAGTACACATATAAGAATTAGTACATAATTTATACTTGTAAAAAATTAATTCGGAACACGAACGTGTATATTAGGAGTTAAGAATACAATAAACACATCGTGTGTATTAGGAGTTAAGAATACAATAAACTTTTTAACTTTTTTATTATAATTCTGAAATAAATTATGTAAAGAATATATATATGTATTAGTTCAACATATGTAACTTGACTGTATTGGCGCTCCTTAAATTTAGGTGATATAATCACAAAAACGGTCTTGTTTTCCAATCTTATTGTTGTTCTTTTATCGTAGTTATTATGTTTATCTCATCTTTTATAATATTACATTCACATTTATGTTTTTGTTCAGCTTTCGATTTTTATAAAAATTCGAATAATTTTTTTTGTTTGATCAGAAATTTAAATGTTTTACACTTTATGTAAAAGTTTTTCTTTTGTACGCGTGTGCCTCAAAGAACATATTCTTAAAATGTTTTATATTATAAATCTGTTTACTAATTTATGATGTGTTGTGTATGTGCGTTTTCGTGTTTATAGAATTTGTATTTAAGACAAAGTGCAGATATTGCAAATTGAAATTAAATATACATATATTTATAGGAATAATCAGAAATAATAATTAGAAACTGTGAATAATAATTAAAGAATATTACTACAATATATTTAATACAATCCATCCTTAACATGTGTGGCCTATGAGTGATGTTTTGTATCAGTGATTATATTCTAGTTCTATTTAAATTTCTTAATTTATCAAGTATTTCGTATGTGAGTTTAAATTTTAGTTTAGTACACAAATATTTTCTCATAAATATTTTGTTGCCTATGAGCGATCTTTTGTATCAATGATTATTCTAGTTTTATTTAAGTTTCTTAATTTATCAAGCATTTTGTGTGTAAATTTAAATTTTAGTTTAGCACACAAATATTTTCTTTATTAGAAACGTTATGTATCTCTAAGAAAAAATAATATTACATATATTTGATACAATTCATTCTTAAAAAGAGATTAAGTATTATAATAATTATATTGTGAAAATAATTATATTGAAAATAATTAAATTAAAAGTATATCTTATCTTGAAAAAAAATTTTTTTTCCTAAATTAAAGCTTTGGTCGAATAATCATTTACCATTATAAAGTTATATCTCGCTTCCAGGTAGTAAACTTTTGTTCCAATTCTGTTTTTGTTATTAGTTTTATCTAATCGCTCATCTCATAAATGATATTTCATAGAATAAAATAGTACATTTTTATCAACAAATGTATATAGTATCCGTGTTAATATTTTTTATATTTGAATAAATTAAGATGCACTTGTATAACAATATTTATAATAATGTTTATTATTTTTCAGACCAAGCGTCTATATAATCGAAACGAATAATATACCTGAAACTCAGGAGGTAGCAAAATCAAATACCGTGAATGCACATATTGTTAACGAAAATATTGTGAACATTGCAAGTAATACAGGTAAATAAATAATTGTGTTATATTAATGTGCTTTGAAAAATCTACTAATTTATTTTACATTTTATTATTATTGTATATAACATCAGTCTATGGTATTTTTCTTATTTACAATACAGTGAACAAATATTTTTCAGGTATTAAGACAGAATGTAAAAATGAAGGGCAATCAGTGTCATTAGTGAAAAGACAAAGCGCTAATATTTCCATAGCGAAGCAACATGCATTGTTAGATAAAAATCAGACTGCCGTTTTAACTAAAAGTAATATAAAAAATAATATCACATCATCAGTAAGTTATTACACATTACAATCATGTTTAATGAAAAAAATTAATTATTTTCTTTTAATCATGATATTACAATTATTTTTTACTTTTAGCCGTCTTTTTATGTAAATTCGGAATCATTTACTCCGTGTCAGATGGAAAAAAAATTAAATATTAAATCATGTCAGATTAAAAATCGACAGTTAACAAATAACGTTGTGGGTATAGTATCTCAAACTCCAGATGGAATAAAAGTAGTAACTACGATGGAAAACCGAATTCAAAATTCTAATACAACAGGTTCTAAATCTACGCTGTCTGTCGGTAAAACTATCGGTTCATCAAGACAAATTGTAATAAAACCTGTTGTTCGTACTCCTAATTCGAATATCCCTCACGTGCGACCAGTGGCAATAGTTCCTCCTGAAATTTCTAAAACAACAATGAGAATACAATCCCCGGATATGAAACACTTAAATGAGGAAATAAAGCAAGCCAAATTTAAACTGTTAAAACAACAAATCGAGAAACAAAGGTTTTTGCAAAATAACACACGACAACTCTCTCATACTTTGCAGCATGTTCATTCCCCGTCGCATAATCCCACGCGTCATTTAATAAGTTCTACGCAACCAAGATCGCGGCAGATTTCAATCTCTACACAACAAGTATCGAAACCAGCCGTGATAGCATCAGTTCCTTCATCAACTGAACGTAATACACCCGTTACTAATATTGATATGGAAGTCAGTTCTTCGGAACTTGTTAAGGAGAAAGGGCACAGTAAGCAACAGTCTTCTTCACCACAATTACATGAAAAATATCCACCTGAAAACATCGCTTACTATAAAAACTCAGTTAATGATCCAGAAAGTACTATAGTTCAGCAACACGTTAAAGGAAATACTGCAAAAATGTTAGTGATGTTACCTACAGGAGAACAGAGACTAATTACGTTTGATATACCGAACGAGGATTGTACTGTACACGACCTACTGGAACAGGTACGTGCTGTCTTGAATCAAGTATATTTCTACAAAGATTTGTAGAAAAAATTGTAAAAAAATACAGATTGACAAATTGTTATATAATTAGAAAAATTGAAAATTTTAGAGAATTTTGTCAAATGTTTAAAAATATTAAAGAAATATTTATAATAATAACATAAATATATAAAGTATAAAGAAACGACGGTCTGAATCGAAGATTCACCTTTGCATTGCAAAAAACGAGCGAAATCTAATTATAAATTTATAAGTAACAAGGTTCAATAAAAATAAATAATGATACAGGAGAAGGACAACGAGCTTAATAAATTCGTTTAATTTATCAGAATTAAATACAAAAATGTTTTGACTCTGATCGGATCATTGTCAATGTTTAAGATAATATCGGTTAGAGACTAAGATAATATCGAGATATATATAAATATAGATTTTATAAAGTTTTCATTACGCGTGCACGTAATGTGCCCAATACCTCAACGCTTTTGCGTGCGGGAAATAGCCAATACCTCAAGCCGTTGAGTTATTTCTCTAACCCCGCTCTTCTGCGCAAAAACGTTTCGGTATAGGCACATTATGACGAGTACTTGTAATGAAAAATTCTATGTGTAGCGAGTGGGGGCATATTTGTTTATAGCTCGCTTCGCTCGTGCGCTCGCGCCCGTCCCGCGCTATAAACAACTATTCCCCACTGTTACACAATGTACGATTCTTGATACAGCACACCAAGTTTTCTCCATCGTATATTTGCTCCAACATTTGTCTAACTCAATCTGGATTTAATTATAAATTATCTTTTTTTATCTTCAATTAGGAATTCATACTTTTACTCTGAATGTTTGCCAAAACTATGAAATATCACTACGATAACGAATAAAAAATGTTATATTAAATCATATTCTTTTCTAATTGAGAATTTTATATTTATCATAAAGACAATGAAATCTATGTTATAAGTAGTCGGTTAAGGGCATAAAAATATAGAGAATTTTCGAACACACTAATTATTTTATATTTATATATATCTCATAACCGATCTATTTTAAATATTGATAATGACCCGATCAGAATCGAAACGATTGTTTTGTATTTATCAGTTTTATTAAATTAAACGAACTTATAAGGCTCATAGCCCTTTATTTGTATTACGAATATTACATTACGAATATTTATAACATTGACACATCACACACACACATACACACACACACACACACACACACACACACACACAATGTTTAATAAAATTTTCTTATGCAGTGAATAAGTAAAATTTTATATTTGGTAATTGCAATTATTTGTTGTTTTGACTTTACTTTAGAATTATAAGATCACACAATCACAATGATCAGTAATAATCGAAAATTTTTGTAATATTTTATTTTTATACAGTATATTACATAAAATGGTTTTAGGTGGATATCCCTGATGAAACACAAGTTTCCTTGGTGGATGATCCTGCACTAGGTATAAACTACATAGTAGAAGCAAAAGATCCCGCGGTGCTTTCAACATTCTGCGAGGGTACTGATAGCGATTGTAATTCTACTCAGGAAATCGTGAGCTCTACTGCGAACATTGAAAATTCATCCCAAAATACCAAGTAAGATATGTAATTATATTATATTACATTGTAATATTCAATTATATTCAACATAATATTACATTGTAATATTCAATTATATCACAAAAAATTCTAAAATAACAATATTTTTAGTGCATCTGATGAAAATAGTAACACCTCTTCACAAACTATTGAGGTAAGTTTGTAGATTTAGTATAAAAAAATTAGATTAAATAAGGATATTGGCATAAAAATTATGCTATTCTTTTCAATTCTGTTTATATTGCGAATATAATGAAATCTTACTTTTCTAAAATTTAAATTGTTAAAATTTGAAATATTTAATTTAAAAAAAAATTTATTGTTTTATAATAGTCGATAATGTCTAACATTAATATAAAAATATATGATTTAAATATATAATTTACAGTAATATTATTTTTTTTATACTATGCCAATTTCTTTGTTTTAACATAATAATATTACTGTATTATATTTGATACTTGTATAAATAATGTAATAGATGTATTATGTAAAAATAACAGAATGGAAGAGACAAAATTAAAATAAAGTACAATATATAATATAGTTAACTCTCGACTACAGCAACGGGTCACATTTGGATGATAAGATATTTCTAAAGACGATATAATACAGGAGTTAATAGCGTTTTTCATTGGCAGAATTAGTAGTGTGCACTCAGTGCGCTTTAAAGTTTTAGATATTTTATCTTTTATCAGATATTTTGTCAATTGTGAGATATCTCACTTTTTTAGATTATAATGTACAATGGACTTTAATGTTCTTTTTGAAAGTACTGTGCAAGAACTTTTTGTACGTAGTGCGCATGGTACAGTTCAAAATGTTACGCAGTACAGATAGGTCAGTGCGAGTTGAAGTTCTCAAAAAGAACATTATTTGATACATACACAACACATATTACACAAAAGTTAATTGGTTATTTAAAAAATAGTGTTTAAATAAAAAAAAATCGTAAAGATGAAAACTGACGATGGAAGTACATCTTCTTTCAGTAATTCTCCTTTATTTTGATTTTCGCTATATGTACTATATGCTGCACCGCCTCAAGAGATGGTACAAAAGTTCTTGTACCTAAGTACCAATTTTCAAGTGTTCCGTTCAAATAGAATGCATGCATTATTTTGTAATAACGTAAGTTCCGGCAAATAAAATTTACAATGTTCTGCACCATCGTCAAAAAGAACCTAATGTGTACGGAGTGTGCACCAGTTCTATCAATGAAAAACGCCATTACAGTGATTACCTCGTGCGAGCCTGGTAGTAATTGAAGAACGCCGATATTATCAATTATTTTGACTGTTCCCAAGGTAATTTCAAAATTGTCAAATTTATACGTTTTTGATGACAAAACAGTTATTAAGGAAGGTAAAGTTCTCGTTAATTTATTCTTGGAATAGCTAAAACAATTGATAATATCAACATTCTCCAATATCGGGCTCTCTGGATGATTACGCTAAAGGATTATATATATTGATCGTAATCTGTTAACTTATGCCGTAATGTAAGAATTGATCAATCACAGTCGAATGAAAGGAGAATAATTGATTATGATTGGTTAACTTTTATAGATTATATATATATGTGTATATATATATATATGACCAATAAAGACGATCCTTAACTCCTGTAAAGCTCTAGACGACGGGTTGATGATTACAATTGACAATTATCTAGTTTTATTGTATTTTAATTAATTACGATGGACTCACTGTATTGACTTAAATAGAATCGAGTAACCGTTAGTCGTTAATCCGCAGTCTGATAATGTCATATATATAATGACATAATAATTAATATTTTATCGGTGTTAATGGACCTGAAGCAAAAATCTTAGATATAATTAATACAATTTGTACAATATTATGTGATTCTAAATTGTAAGTAAGGCAGAGATTCACTTGCATTCTGTATACTCTTCACAAAATATTTTAAAGTTTATATGTAATTTTTATAGCTGTAGTTAAGGGTTAATGATAATCTATATACATATGTAATAAGGTCACATTGATGCGATTGATAAAAATATTCATAAGAAATTAAAGGAGTATACTTAAAGTTCATCATTCAGAACAAATAATATTCTACAAGTACGAAGTATACCATGTTATTACTAGGAACCTATTTTGGTCGAAGGAATGCTTGCTCTCTGTCCACACTGCGGATACAGTTCACTATACTTCAACCGATGTGAACGATGTAATACAAAACTTGATGGAGTCAAGTCAATACCCATACCAGAAAAAAAGGAAGCTGGGATGTCTGTCGATGTAAGGATTATGTCTGCGGTGCCAGAAGACCGATATATACTTATTAATACACTGTCATGAAATCCTATTACATGATCTATTGTTTGATTGATATTGCTAACAAATTTAACATTTAAAACCTAAGAGTTTAGTTTAAGAGGACTTATTAACATAGCATTTTAATATAGAAAATTTAAAGCGCTTTCAGCATTTGGCCATTAAGAAGTATTTTGTTTATAGAAGGATTTTAGCTAAGATTTGTTTTCAAAACTAGGACGTTTTGTATCACTGTTTTGTCGTTACAGGTCATATCGAAAGCAGTTTACTACGATTATCTTAATGTATCATATAATGTATCTTATATCCTAGTAGCAATTTATTGGTGATACATTATTGATTAATTAATTAAGTGATTTATTAATTAAGAATTAAATCAATAATGTGCCAATAATTGTGTCAATAAGTGTGCTACTAGGGTAATTTAGTAATATACTTTCGTCAACCATTTCTTCTGCTTATTTCCCGTTAATATAAATTTGTAGATGTAATTATGATTGTGTATTTTTATAGGTGTTTTATAAAAAGAACAACGAACGAAATACTACAAAATCAGAGAAAACAGACGGTCCCAAACGGTCTAAAGGAAAAGCTAAAGGTACACCTTCCAAATCAAAGCCTATTCATAAAGAGCCAGGTGAATATAATAATATAATAATCTTGTATATTTTAATATTATGAAACGTGTGTATACATTACTGATTATTTTATTAATTTCTAGAATGTTTGACAATATCTTCTGACGAAGAAGAAGAAGGCAGACCTAAAAAAATTGGAAGCGTTAATAATAACGCAGTAGTAGGCAACGCGAGTAACACATTTAACGAGGATATAAACACTATTGTGGATAAGGAACCAATAATTACAAATACTTCTGTTTTTAATTTATACGACGATATTATGGATAATGAAGAAAATAGTAAAGGTAATGTTTTATGAGATACATAAGTGATCATTACAATTTACAGCTGATTTAATAATATAATAATGAAATATTGGATTTTAGAAATATATGAAAATCATAACTTTTTTGATATTGGACAATTACCACAAACTGCTCTAGAGTGTCGAACGGTCAGAATAGGTTCTTATAAATATATTCCTCGGGAAAAAGTAGTAATTTCTCATAGTGGTATAAGATTTAGGGTACCATTGTTAGAAGATGGTAAGTTGATTTTATCTCTAATGGAAATATCTATGATTACGAGATTTTATAAATTTTTTAAAATATTTAAATATTTTGCAGATTCAAGTTTTGTTACTTTGGACGTGAAGTATAAAGATATAGTTAAGCTTTTAATTCATTTTGGAAAGACAATGCCAGTACTATTCTTTTATACATCTATAAATACAGGAGCCACGATACGTGAATTATTAGGAATGCAAGATCCAAAGGGACCATATTATGATCCTGCTGGAAAAGGTATTTACATGATATATATATGTGAACTTTCTATAGTTTTAATATTTTCTGTAATTTATTATTCTTAATAATATTTAATCTTCACAATTTTTTAAATATAATTATGTATATATGAAAAGATTCTTGATAAAAAACCGATTAATATTTTATATTTTTATTATTTTTTAGATCATACGCATAAACGTATTACATTATTACCTGACAAGTTACCGGAAGATTCGAAGGCAATATTAACAAGCTTATTCTCACGAGGAGATAAAATAGACGAATTAAGTCCTAAAGAAGCTAACGATATACTTATACGAGCATCACCAAGAGATGTACATATTAAAAATTAAATTTTATTTCATGATGCGTATGTCACATAATACAAATATTTTTATATATTTTTACAGTGTTTACAATCACATAATGTTACACGGAAACAGAGTCAAAACGTAACAAATACTACTGCTGTCAGTGATGACATACAAACGTGAGATTCTTATTTAATAATCGATTTTGCCTTTTAATAATTTGATGTAAAATGTATATTTTATAATTTTATTTAGTTAATCTAATATTACTTCATTTTTTACGTATTGAAAATTTATAAATATGATTATTGAATTTTTTTTTAAACGTAAATTTTCTTTTTTTATAGAATAACTGTATATCCACCACCTCCTGCAAAAGGGGGAATAGCTATCAACACTGAAGATTACTTATGTCTTGCAGAAGATCAGTTTTTAAACGATGTCATTATAGATTTTTATTTAAAGTATTTAACCTTAGAGGTATTATCCGAATCTGATCAACATAGAACTCACGTGTTCAGTTCGTATTTTTACAAACGTTTAACTAGCCCACATGCCCAAGCTACCGAAAGCACCATGCCAATGACACCTGCCGCGAAACGACACGCAAGAGTACAGAAGTGGACGAAAAATGTCAATATATTTGAAAAAGATTTTGTTATAATTCCCATAAACGAACAGTAAGTAATCTCGTAAATTTAATCATGAATTATCCTATAAATCTTATAAATTTTGTAATTAAGATACAATTTTTTATCTGATGTTTCAATACTGAGTCCACTCAGGATCATAGACCGAAGATCTCATTAGTATGTGCAAATTTAATAGAGTCTGACACTTTCTTCAATTATTTGTAAAAAATTATTTATAATGAATGTTTTTTGCAATCTTACATAATTTTAAATTATATAATTTTATTCTTTTAATTTTCACCTTTATAATGAAAAAAATCGTTCAATTATATGTTTACTTTAAGCAAAGATATATTAATTTTAAGTACATTGGATCAACGAATATCAGTTAAGAAATTTCGAAGTGAATATTATTAGAATTAAGTTAGAATCAGTATTGAGATATCATATAAATAAATAAATAAATCCATGGTGCATACCCGAGAAGTTTATTTTCATATAAATGAGAGAAAAAGAACAAAACATTAAAGTTTTTTTTTGTGTATATGAGGTCTGCACTTTAGGCTCGTATTGAAATTTATATTAAAATAATTTGTAATATATAAACGAGTCAATAAGTTTTATTCTTCAAGTAATTCTATAACTTTTTGGCTCTTTGACTTTTGTTAACATAAATAGGAATTATATTATTTTATATAACAATATATATACGTTTCTAACTAAACAAAGAGAAGTTCTTATTTGATCAAAATGGATCTTAGTGCTTAAATGTTTCTGTATGAATTTATATACATATCAGATTCTTTAAATCGCATGCTGAAATCTTTTTCGGTCTTGAAGCGCAGTTAGTCATAGTAGATTTAAAGTAATAATATTACTTATTAAATTAGCAAGCAATTTAATAATATTTTAAAGTATATTCGTTATATGAGAATCTTAGTGAGGCAGTATTTTTCGGAATAAATTACAGATTGAAGAACTCACATTAACATCAGATTATTTTCTTATAAAGATTATTAGCATAAAAAATTATTAAATTGCTTGTCAGAACAAGTGATATTACTATTTTGGTTCTGTTCATGATTGCGTTTCAAGACTGAAAAAGATTTTGGCGCATAATTTGCAGACAGATGTCTATATAAATTTACACAGAAATATTTAAATATTATACTAAGATATATTTTGACTGGATATAGAATTCTCTTATTTAAATATATATTTATTTTTATCGATCTAAGTTCGTATCATAATATTGTTTATAGTGCTCATTGGTTCTTGGCTATTATTTGCTTTCCTGGGCTAGTTGGAAAAGTATCCACCTGTACTGCAAAAAATAGCGAAAACTATATTAATAAGACTCCACAAAAGAGTAAAAAAGTAAAAGAGTTAAAATCAAAAGCTGTCACAATTGGCTCTACAACAATCACTCCTGTACCAACGACTATAACGATAGATCAACTAGATGATGATGGATCAGAGAGGGACGAAGCAGAAGGCGACGATGATGAAATGGAAATGGACAGTGACGAAGAGGTAAAATAAATTTTATTGTGTTAAGTTTTTTCTGTCTCAAAATAATTATAATGTAATATATTTTATGTATAGGACGAGGTAGACCAACCGGAAGAAAATAAAATCCAAATTAAAATCGAAGAGCAGAAGGAAACTGTCAGGAAGTAAGTAACATGTCTTTGTGATGTAATCTATTGTGATTTTAATATTTAAATAATTTAATTTATAGTCCCTGCATATTGATATTCGACTCACTTGCTGGTGCTAGTAGATCACGGGTGGTTGCTACATTAAGAGATTATTTAAGTTGCGAACATGTTGCCAAACTTGGTGTAGAAAAAACATTCTCGAAAGATACTATTAAAGGAGCGTGTCCAAAAGTACCCCAACAATCAAATTTTACTGATTGCGGATTATATGTTTTACATTACGTGGAAAGTTTTTTTAAGGCAAGTGTATTAAAATATCTTTAATATTTTTTTTTATTATTATAGTTATTTTTTACATGTCTTTAGGGATTACGTAAATTATCAATGTGATTATGAGTTTATTTCTTTTTTAGGATCCCATTAAAGATTATACTTTACCAATTAAAACTTTAAAAACATGGTTCGAGGAAATTGTCGTAACGAGAAAAAGAGAAGAATTATCAAATTTACTAATTAAATTGATGAACACTAAAGGGAGTAAAACTATTAATTTGCCTAGTGTAAATTTTCCCACACAAGATGGCAAGTTAAAACCGAAGGTTGAAAATCAGACAGATGTAAAGACTGCAAAGTCGGAGTCCGAAAATAATAAAAGAAAATCTACGAGTGATGCAGATGCACGAATGCTCACGTTTGTGAAAGAAAATAGTGAATCAACTAATGAAGGTGTTAGTAGAACTTATCAGATCATTCCTTATTCTCTGAGTTCTAATTCGTCTGAGAATAATTCTACGGAAACATTGACGGAACAGAAAATAAGGTATACAAAAAAATGTATATACTATACACGTATCTTTTAGTATGTATAGTTTTATAGTTGATTATATTTTTATAATTAAGTTTTTGTAATTATTGTTGACATCACTAAAATATGAATGATCATATATGAAACATCCCTTTTCTCATTACCATTTTTTATGGATATTCTGATCTTTTTCAGAAATATTTTCCCGAAGTATTGTACATTTTAGATATTTCTACTAATTAAATGAATATGTATAATGTATAATAACATGAAAAAATGTATTAATCTTATATCATTAAATTAATAAATTTATTACATTAATTTAATGATTATTTTATCGATTTTTAGATCATCGGCCGAAACAATGTCCTATTTGAAATCTAAACGGATTCATAGGATAGTGTCAAGAACACAGAATCAAGATGACTCTCCCAGCACTGCTAAAAAATACAAAGGGGGAGAGTCCCTCAATTCCTGTAAATAAATATTTCTTTTTTACAGTGCTAAGATTAATGTTACTTCTCACAATACATGAAATCATTTATTTCGACGTATATAAAATGTAGTTAAATCATGAATCGAATAAAACTGCAGATATGATTTCTGATTGTATACGTGCAGTCCCTTTATGATTGACCTTGATATGTACTTTATTTAATGGTTATTTTAGTATTATTGTAGATTTATAAAATACTATTGATATGAATTACGTAAAGCGAATATTTCGAAAGCAACAGATATACATTCTACAGCATCCACGACGTCATTGATGCATTGCGCCACTCAGTTCTCTACTAGAATCTTCATCGATTATGTACTCATGTGAAATTATCAAAGAATATTTCTAAATAATGTTTTATTAAAGTATAATTTTATTTTTTTTAGTAATTTTTTTAAATTAATTATTTTGAATATATTATTCCTTAGATCGAATCAATAAAAATTCCGTTGCTTCATAGCACTATGGTTTGACAATCTCAGCGAGTTATTTAAAGCCTCGCGACATATTCGCGTAGATATATTTGGTACTCTTATAGTTTTAAATAACCGCTACATGAAGCCCTACTCAATGCGAATGTCTCGTGCGTGAAGTTTTATGAAAACCGAAATAATAAAAGTTAACGAATATATATTGTTTTTTGTGATTTCGCATTGATAACAGCGAGTTTACTCTCATTAGCCTAATTATTATTTGTATTCGAAATAATAAAAGTTGAAATAGTAGTCAGTGTAATTTGGTGATTATCTTGTAAGTTTTTGCTGTGTTTTTCTATTAAACTATGCAATCATAGAATTAGTAAATCAATTACATAATACATTGTTAATTTCGTGTTTTATCATACGAGTGCATGTTGTTACAAGATGAAATTAATCTTAATGACGAAAATGGCATATGCATAATTTGTAAATTCATAGTTTGTTATAAAAATATTAATTATATCACTGCACTGTATCGGATGATATAACTATAGATCTCTCTAGCGTGTGGTATATGGTATATGATTGTTCATCGGATATGCTTTATTACGCTCATACGTTTTCATTATGCTGATGCCGCACTTGTTTAAATGGCACGTATCTTAATAGGATAATGCCTGGATCAATAGACTTAATAGTGTCTACAGCGTACATTGGAGTCACGATTTGGATAGCGTATTGGCTAAGACGATATGCATTATTTTATCTAGATTCTTATCCCCTCACAAAAACTTTGGTTTTTGAATTCATAGCTACAGCAGAACTTTGCGGAGCTTGTTTCGAGCTTATTATAAGTAAGTCGACTGTTTTATAAGTATAAGTATAATAATTGATTATATTGTATACGATTAATTTTGATAAACAATAATCTTGTGGATTCAGAGATCTATTATTTATATTGTAGTTATATTTATATGTTGTGTATTATTACATATATGATATATGTATATGTTAGCATAATAATTATATTTTTTCATTGTATTTTTAAACTATTAATTAAAGTGTTTGATATTATTTTTTGTCATTTTATTATTATATATATGCATTACAATAGAACTTGTCCTAAGTATTTTCCTTTCTAAAAAGTTTGAACTTCTGTAGTTGCGGACAATTGGGGAGTATGGATGTACGCGCTTTATTTGTTTCTACTGACAATCTGGTGGTCGATAAACTGGGATGAAGCTTCAGCATGTCCTTATATACACATGGAGGATATAGTAATACGTAAAAAGCCTTTGATTGTCGCGTTTTTATCGATATGTGCAGAATTGGCCGGCGGTCTCCTTATATTTAAATACGTCCAAATATTGTGGGCGTTCCAATTTGCTTCTACACACAAGAACAGAGCCTATGGCGATTGCACTACAGATTTGCAGGCAAGACTAAATTGTTACTTTTAATCCCATCAACGAATTATAAAAATAAAAAATATTAATTTTTAAATAATATTTTAAAAATGAGTTTCATTATTCATTCTATGTATTGCACGACATGTAGTTAAGCGTTCGTAATTTTAACACGTGCGCGATCGGAAAATAATTTCATTATTGAATAAATTAAAAAACACCTGCAATGATTTTTCAGGTGTCCGCTATAATTGGAGCGCTTGTGGAATGCATTGCAACGTGTGTATGCAGAGTAGTATCTCGAGTACTGGGTGACTTGAACCCGAGGTTTAGCATGGTTATCGATGCCTTTGTAGGCACGTCTTTGGTAGTTGCAGGTTAGTGAATATTATTCTATATTCTTTCTTACGATGTGAAACAAGTCTGTATCGTTGATCTTTAAATATATTTCAGCTTTCAATTACACCGGTGGTTACTTCAATCCTGCATTAGCAACTTCTCTAAAATATGGTTGTTTGGGAACCTCGTCCATGGAGCATGTGATAGTTTATTGGATTGGAGCATGCATCGGGTCAATCGCTTCTTTGCACGTGTACCGTATGCCGTTTGTACAAAATTTCATTCAAGTACAGGAAAGTACAGATGTCATTTATTAGATGAAGTTCGATGGAATTATTATTTCCAGGAGAATTTAAATATTTGTGGTTTATAATCATAATCATCAGTATTCCTTTAATAACACAAAAATTTAACAATGTACAAAATTATGTGCCAATTAAACGATAGTTTTATACATTCCGATTGTCGTATAAAAATTATGAACCTATTTGCAGTTATGATTACACTTCGGAGACAAAAAAATGATGTTGAGCTATATATTAATAAATGTTTCAAAATATTATAAAATAATTCAATCGATATTACCTCTGCACTTTTACATCTGCAATCCCTCATAAAGAAGAAATTGATGACTGATATTTATAATTTATGACAGACCTCAAGATAAAATATTTCAACAAGCTATTTTTTTAATGACATTTCTTTATTTATTCATATATATTATATATATATATTTATCAATACATAAATATTTATTTATCAATGATTATCTAATAATGATATACAAACTGTATGATGTATTTTACTACATGACTAGAAATAATTTGCTATAATAACTGTACACACAAAAACCTTATAGTATAAACAATAATATTTATCTAAAGACTGTCAATGTACGAACATAACTAATACGAATACGAAGCCTATGACAGAGTCTAGCTTGGATTTTAGTTACTTATATATTAATTTAATTCGTGATAGTACACTACGGTAGTTTATTAGAGTTGAGTTTCAAGAACCGACAATTAATTGTTCAGCGCGTAGTTTGGAAAGACTACATATATTAGTATAAAAATTCACGCGAAATTATATATAAGTAACTAAGATCCAAGCTAGACTGTTATAGGCTTCGTATTCGTATTACTTTATAATATAACTTTTATATACAATTATTATTGCAATTTATTATTTTTATACAATTATGAAAAATATGAAAGTGTGTATTACATTCGAAATAGAAAACGATGATATTCACAAACGATAATAATAGAAATGAGTAGAAATATTAAGAAAAATTATATATAGAATTCCGCCTTAGATGATAAGTTGTATTCGATCACTTCATTTTCGTACATTTCAATATTCTGCAACATGATAAATAAATGTTATTTTACAAAATCATATTAATTTTATAAATAAAAATTACAATTGCTTTCGTTATATTTTATTACACTTTTTTTCTATTTACGGGCATTAAACGATAAGATAAAATGTATATTTTGTCTTCATTCAATAAAGAACAGAAATTAATTTTTTAAACTGTTATAACTTAATTAAATTCTAAAAAGATCCATAAAGGAAAAGATGCTGCTGTCTTCTATGTTCCACAAACTTGCTTGTAGAAAAAATTCGATATATTATTAGAAAAGAATATTATAAATATTATAACGAAGAGCTATCTGAAACTTACTATATTGATGTCCTTGTCAAGATCTTGTACTTGTTTTTCATGAGTAACCTTCAGTTTCTCTTTCTCACGACCCTGTTTCATCTCTATAGTTTTTCTCTCTTCCACGAATTTTTTCGTATTCTGTTGCTTTTTTTCGCGAAGTCGCCTGTCCTTTTCACCCTTCGTCTTCAATGTCTTATCATTCATCACCTCTTTCGCCGTTTCCACGGATACTTTCGCTTGATTGGTATTTATATCCTTTATGTCTCTACAATATTAATGTGTTTAAACGACATATGACAAAAGATATTAGAACTTACGCTATTGCAAAGATTTATCAGTAGGAAAGTATAACAAAACAAATAAATAATGTGAACCAACTTGTCGTGCTTCGCCTGCATTTGTTTAATTTGCGTAGCTTGCACGACCTCGATCAGCCTCTTTAACTCGTCACGAGAGTTCTGCGTTTGATTCTTCAATAAATCCCATTCCTCCTTCCTCTGCTTTTCCATCATGGTAGACCACTGAGCTGTTTGTTCACTTATAATTTTCTTGACATTCGCATCTTGCGCTAGAGTATTTTTGCTAAAATCACGTACGTTAAATAATATATTAAATATTAAATGCATATACAGAATGTCTTAAGATTTAATGGATAAACTATAAGAGCATGTTCTATATCAGTGGAAATAAAAAAAAGTATCATATAAAGCTAGAAATGCTTTATTGCAAAATTATAAGTAAATATTGACCGCGGTCCGATTCACGCTCATAACTTAAAAATCATTTCGTTCTTGTTTGTCAAATGTTAAATAAAGACAATTGATGTATCATGCGCGAACGGAGCGCACCTAAAGATAAATGATGTTCATGACCTTTATGCATGAATCGGACTGCAACTATTGAAACGGAAACATTTTGGTGGTATTTTAACAGAACATTGATATTTTGTAACAGTTATACTATTTTATAACAATGGAAATCTAACAATTATTCTTTTTGAGCGCAGCCGTTGTCTGAGTTAAATGAATATCATTTACATAGAGATCGAAATGATATTGAACCGTTTAAAGATAATAAATGTGATGTAAATATATATGTATATACACAAGATACGTTTGAACTTTCCGTACATGAAATATATACTTTCATATTCTGTAATGAAAAATACGTTGTTTCCTTTTTCGTGTTTCGTTTTAATATTTGTTTATAAACGTGTAAAATTTTTAATCAAATTTTACATAACATTTTTTCCTATTTTCACTTATCGAATATGTTCTCATAGTCCGTTAAATCCTGAGATAATTTGTGCATAATATTAAATATCGTATTCTAAATTTCTCAAACTTCTTTCTCGCAATCGAATTACATTGAAGTAGAAAATTATAACGCACTCTTTTCCTCTAGTTAATTTTTCGATGGCACTACAATGATTCTTCTGTATAGTTTGCCTTTCTTTAGCGTGTTTTTTTTTCATGGTATCCAAATCTTTCTGGTATTTTTTGCCCAATTTAAAACCTTTCTCCTTTTTCAAGGATTCTAATGTAATAGGTTCCAGTTTCAATGCCTCTGTTGAAATTATGTGAGAATTACATACATACCGCATGTGTAACAAATAATAATTGATACAGTTTGTTCCCTTATCGTTTAATTGAAAATCATTATTTTGTAAATATATAAAAATAATTATATTAATTATATATAATGTTGTTACCCTTCTTCGCTTCTTCTTCTTTCTTTTTCTTAGCATCTGCCTTAGCATCGGTCTGTTCTATTCCGAGTCCCTTCATCGTTTCAGTTTGCTTCTCGGCGGCCTTGCTAAAACCGCCCGGATCCGACAAGGCGGCCATAAAATCTGAAATTGGAGGTCTGCTTGTGAGAGAACGCCGTGAAGAGTGCTACTATTTTTGAGCCGCTGGGATACTACCTTCGAATCCATCGGGGACGTAAATCTTCAGCTCTATGTTGCAGAAGAGCATGGGCAACGCCATTGGGAAGTTTGCTTCGGTCTTCAAGGAGATATGTCTGTAGCCAGCCTGAAGGCCATCCAAGGGTAAGATTCGTTGTCCGAGCAATTTGCCGTTCTCTTCGTATACACCTGCCGGAAATAAAATACGATTGAAAAATATTAGAGATATAGACATCAACATTAATTTATTTACTTCAAATTCATATTATAACGAAGAGCATAAAGAAAGAGGCGTTAGTACCAAATCTGAGTACTGCTAAATCGGGAAGCACGACCTTCCGGAATAAAAACGGTTCCTCGTTGTAGACCGGATTCAGCCCGTTCGCCGGCACCATCCGTGTTCTGAATTCCTTCTTGATCGTGTCTGCTGGTAGACCGTACATATCCACCTCCACGTACGTGCCCACCTTCTTATCCGACAAAAATTGCCCGGCTATGACTTGAACCGCGCACTGCGCGGTGATGATACCGTCGACGTCCTCGGAAAAAGGATCGAAGCTTCGATCGGGTCTCCGCATGAAGTCAGGTTTTAACAGATAACCCGTCGTACCATTATACTCGAATTTTCCCTGATTGAGCTGCATCGGTAGATCAGGAGTTTGGAAATTCAAAGCCACCATCTGGCAACCGGCGTTCCAAAAGACCTAAATAAATGACGTAAAACAGATGATTGTCTATCTTTTTTCTCAAAATATAATATTTAATAAAAAAAAACATGTGTCTTTCGATATACAATCCGTATATATGTTCTTACAATATACGAAGAAAACGCAACGAATTAAAAAATATAAGTATTGTAGATAAAGATAATAATTTCATTGAATTATCTATTAAAATGATTACATAAGTAAGTCAAATATGATATCAGCAATGCTGCAAGAAAATGTTTAACATTCTAGCTTGATAGTCATAATTATTTTGAATACAACAAAAATGATCTTTAGATTTGTATCTAGCTAAATTTTAAAGATATATTAAAACCGTTCTTTCTCCACGTAGAGATATATAACGTGAGTAATAACTCTGCGGGGAATCTAAACGCGTTTGTGTATCGTTGCAGTTACCTGGGGCATGTAATTCGACGAATCAGCCCTTGTGCCCTTTGGATATATTCGACTCATTTGCCGCTTGTTGTAATTAACGAACTCCACGGAGTGAGTTTTCAGATAGTTAAGAGCGGCAGTCTCGGAGAACGAAGACATATTATGATGTATATTCTTGCCTGCAACGTCGGGGTCGAGACATTAGTACATGTCGCGCGCGCGACACGTGCGCACGTGTACGCTCATTCATTTAACTCTCCTTAAGTCTCCGAGACATACGCACTACCACACGTACACACCCGCTACCTTGGTAAATTTAAGACACGTATTGCACACAAAACTCATCGCAAGGAAGAAAGAATAATATTAAATTTCACGCATTTACAGATTCACGTATTCATTGGACCAAGATTTTACATGATTTCACAACATCTTTGAAGTTTCCATAAAAAAAGTATCAATATTGTATAAATATAATATATTATATACATACAGACGACAATTTCAAGGACTTTCGACCAATGCAATGTAGAGTTTTCTTTTGTTTTTCAGAAGAAGTTAAAAATATAAAAGAAAGTAAAATAAGTGAGACGTAAGGTAAAATATATTTTAAAGATTGTGAAAAAATTATTTAAATTATATTATGTTTACTCTCTTATTTTTTATTTTTGTTGAAGATATTTGATAAATATATCTATGCTGTGAGCATACACACT